TATCAAAATTGATCCAATTTTTAAACAATAAAGATTGGGTACCATACAGATTTATTTGAAGAAATGAATGAAGTCAACATGAAGCCTTAAGGAAATATCATGAATTTTATAAATGCCAAAGGGGTAATTTCATCAGTCATTCCTAAGTTCGACCTTTAAAAAACGAAAATAAATCTCCAAAAACTAAGTCGGTTTTCAAATCTGAAAGTCTATTCAAATGCAAATGGTAAGATTTCTGTTGAAAAAATTCAAATTTTCAATGACCACCTTTTATTGCTATACATTGACAAGAAATCAATAATCACAGACCCCCTCGAGTTAAAAATACCTAATTGGATTTTAAATCCATTTTCAATTTAATCGGTGGAAGATCTCGAACCATCTCTAGAAATGGAATTATTTTTATTATTAATTACCATTATTATTAACTTATCGATCTTATACAAGACTGTGGAACTCAAATTGTTTTTAAGCAGGACGGTTTGGAGTTATCTGGGTTAAGATTAAAGTGACATATCCACAACGAATACTACTCATCCATAGTGGATCATTCAACATAACAATACCACAGTTGACATATCACCCAACGCTTTAAACAGGCAGATGAACTATATTATGCCGCCCTCAACCCGCATTAATTCCAATGAATTCTATTTTTTAAATACTGTATGTTGATTGGGTCCACAACTTGTTGAATAGAATATGTATTACTATTAAGATTACAAATAGCGTTGTAAAAATAAATGGAATTGAATCCATAGAGCAATAATTATAAAAGTATGTACGAATATAATATATAGACAACGGGGAGGATAACTCAAATGACTATGGGTCAGTCAGACAACAGTCAAGATTATAACAATCTATTAAGTTTTTTTGTGTGCTGCCACATTCAAGATTTGAATGTGTGATCTAAACATTAACGCATTACTTTACTCATGTATATCTATAAAGCAAATATACAGTTTGTGTATAAACTAATATATTCTCAATATACATTAAATATACAGAGTGTATTGTTTACAATATTTCAATATTGTATTATGAAACACAACACGAACCGTGTTAGGATCCAATGAATATAAGTGCTGATGCAGAACATTGCAACTGCACAGCCCGTGTACGACAATATATTATTATAATTTAGTAAGTCAAAGTTCAACCGTTAAAATAAACAACATAGTAATAAATATAATTAATTGTAAATTAATTTTGTCCTCTTTATGCCAGACATACATTCAAACTTCCTTCTACCTCTCCAGCTTCTCGTCTACAACAGTAGCCCGAATATATTACTAACTTTGTCCATATTTTTCCCGTTATTTCTTCGTTTGAATAATCGACCACAGTAATGAATAATCAAACATATATCTGTCTTTNATTGGCGTTAAAACCCACAATGATTTATATGTAAAGCCTAGACTCTATAATATTATACGCAATATAATATTTTTAATTTCTAACTAACAATGATAGAAATAACGAATGTCTAGTAAAAAAATGTGTTTGCGCATACTTTTATGAGGGTATTATCCCGAAGAAAAATTTAATTTACAATNATTTTAATTACGAAAAGTAGAAATAATGAATGTCTATTAAAAAATGTATTTTACACAGACTTATATAGTGGTATTAGCCGAAGGAAAATGTAACTAACAATAAGTTGTTTTTTTTAAAGCAATATTGAAAATGTGCAAACTATACAAACGTAGAAATTAAACGAATACAGTTGATAATTCTATTTGTTTATTGTTTTACATAGGTGAAGATTATTCGTATATTTAATGCGTGTATTTACGCATACAAAGTCAATGTTAACCTTTAAACGAAAACCGCACATTTCGCGGTGATAACAAAAACGAATTTATTGGCGGTAAAAACTCACAATGATTTGTATGTGATGATATATAAACATAGTAACTTTCTAGACTCTAGAGCATAAAAACATGGTAACTTTCTGGATGTACCGAAATTCTATTAGTTTTTCTTATGTTACCTACTTAACGTTTTGCACAAAAAATCTACGGATTTAATTACTAAAATTATTCAATCCTAGAACAGTGGATTGTGAATAAATGTATAATATTTGTTGAAGAAACACAGTCGTTTCAGATCAGTGCCGCAGCTAGACGAGAGAGGGCCTAGGGGCCGTTAAGAAACTACCCAATTGAATTTTTATTAAAATTCGGAATACGTTTACTATAGAACTTTTTCTATTTGTTATGCACGTGGTAATAGTTATTTCGGTTGTCATTAATTGCAGACCAGAGTAGTCGTGATACGATTATTAAGTTCATTGCGATTACCAGATCAGTGCCGCAGCCAGACGGGAGAGAGCCTAGGGGCCGTTAAGAAACTATTCAATTGAATTTTTATTAAAATTCGGAATACGTTTACTATAGAACTTTTATTATTTGTTATGCACGTGGAAATAGTTATTGCGGTTGTCATTAATTGCAGACCAGAGTAGTCGTGATACGATTATTAAGTTCATTGCGTTTATCTGTTATTCATTTTTTTTTTACTGACTGTGACTAGAAATGCCACATACGATTTAGAACAATTGTTATAAAATATAAAAAAAATTGTTTTCAGAATACTTTTCAAGGTCCCCGAAACCCCTTGAGTCTAAGACCACCGGAAAACTTATCTACTTTTGCATATCGGTGGCACTATTTTATTCCTTTTAAAAGGGGTGCCAAAAAATAGCAGGCCAAAATTCGTTTTATCATCGGACTACTTTTTCGTTATTATGGTAATTAGTTTATCGAAAACGCAACGAAACGCCTGCATGAAGTAGAACTAGTGCTGAATATTTTTAAAATGTTTGCAATCTGATTGGAGCGAAGAGCTCATTGTTTTACAAAGACGTTTTTTTCCATTTTTTTTTTCTGTTTACAACTTTTGTACCAGAAATCATACCCAGATTTCAATGTGTATCATTTTTAATGAAAGAAAATCGATTTTGGGAGGTACTTTGTGGTGGTCATTTTTCGATTTTCTCAAAAGTTTAACATCATATGTGAAAAACCGAAAAAAAAGAAGGGAAAATGTACGAAATATTTTATTATATTATTACGATTTTATTTTCTTTGACAACTTTTGTATCAGTAATTTTAATCCAACTTTAAACAGTATCAACTATCTTTTTCTAAAAGGAAATTTTATTGAAAAGGTACCATAAGGAAATTTTTCACTTTTCGATTTTTTTAGCAGTTCTCTCAGTGAATAATTAAANGTTAAAGAAATATAAAAGGCATATTTATTTTTTTTACTATAATATGATATATATACTGTTAACAAATCATCACCATATTTAATTGATATCCTTTCAGAATCGTTTTTTCGTATGCAATGGCTTATCGTTGTTTGCAGTTATACATTAATGTAGCCATGAAATTTCCGTATGTATACCTGTCGGCAACCGTCCATATTTTACTAGGACGTATTTTTTTGATATGAATTATATACTTTTTTATTTTTAAAATAGTAAACCAGTGTTAAGAAAGGCCGGCTCTTATTCACGGTGCGGTGTCGGTGCCGGTGCCGGCGGTCAAAATGTGGAAATGATAATTGGTTATGAAAATAAAATAATCGGTAATACCAACAATCATCAGAGAAATTCTGGCAATTTTATATTCGTGCCGATTAAAAAAAAATACTGTATTACATGAAACGGATTATTTTTTGACACGGCAAAATGGTTCCAGAAAGATAGAACCAGAGAGAAATGTATGCAAGAGAGAGAGACAGAGGTAAAGATAGAGAGAGAATGTGAGATAAATTGTGAGAATGACAGACGATGAGTTTACCNCAATCATCAGAGAAATTCTGGCAATTTTATATTCGTGTCGAATAAAAAGAAATACTGTATTACACGAAACGGATTATTTTTTGCTACGGCAAAATGGTTCCAGAAAGATAGAACCAGAGAGAAATTTATGTAAGAGAGAGGGACAGAGGTAGAGACAGAGAGAGAATGTGAGATATATTGTGAGAATGACAGACGATGAGTTTACCGAATGCAACGTGCAAAATATTCTACGGCCACGGAGTAAGCATGTTTCTATTGTTAACTCAAAATATTCATTTGGGCACAAAGTAGGCATTATATATTCTCATTAGTTATGTTTGTTTAAAATTGTATAGATTTTCCCGTTTTTCCTGCGTTATTCCTGGTTTTCCCATATTTTTATATTGTACTTATTGTCACCTTGTTTTCTATTACACATGTAAACATATTCATTTATTTACTTTTTTTCCATCCCCTTCTACACACAATACATTGCCTTTAAGTCACCAGAGCACAATCTCAACATAGCGCAGTTCCTGGTGGTCAATTGGAATAAACAGTTGTTTGTACATTTGTGTTGTTCTCGTCTTATTTAATTACAACTACTATACAACGATACGTCGGTTAGCGATTCGTTACACTAAACAAATTCATCAACCGTAAGTCATCACTTATTAGCCACCCGACATCCGAGTATAGTTACATAAATATCTATTGATATCGTTGACCTGGTGACACAACAATTAGAAAAACAACAAATGTTTATCGAAACTTAAAAGTCTTTATACCTGCTCCTTACATTTTAAACAACGAACTTCAAGCAGTATACCGAGGTAAGTGATTATTTCCACATTCTCGTAAAAAAAATATAATTATATTATAATCTTCACCGTAGTTCACCAGCATAGTTATTATTGTTATTAAATTAAAAAATCATATTAAAAAAAATGATTAAATATTTATTATTATGATATATATATATATATACAGAACATTTATGTTGGCCTATTCTAGATGTGACAACGTTTTTGAATGCAACGAAACGAATTATTATATGCTACGGCAAAACAGCTCCAGAAAAAGAGAACCAGAGAGAAATGTATGCAAGAGAGAGAGAGAGAGAGAAAGTGAGATAAATTATGAGAATGAAAGANATAAAAACTACATATATTAATATATTACCTATAGTAAATATTAACAGAGAATGCTGAAACAACATTAAAAAATTTGATTAGTTTTGTAAAACTGAAATGTTTTGATATGGCTAAATATTCCATCATATCAACAAGATATCCTCTATCATTAGGCATTCAACCCGGATGATGATGTTATTGTGCCGAATTTATTTTTACAACGTTTCAATATTGTTTATGCTCACAGAATGTGTTTCATTAAATCTTTAAACTATAATTTACTCTGAATGACTTCATCTCCGGTCACACTGTTATCTGTTGATATGTCTGGACGGTTAGTTTTGATAGAAATTCGTACTATTTATAGTCCCATATGGCACTTTACATTGGAGCATTGTGCTTAAAACAGGTAATATTTAGACAAATTACAAGTACTTAATTTCCATAAAAAGCCGTTTCACTAAGGTGCGTCGTATATTTTATGGTACCACTTTAAACCGTTCATTGAAAAATGAAGGATTTGGCTGAGGTTAATAAAATGAGCAAAATATTAAATTAATATATATTAATTAATTAAAAAGTTAATTATATATGGATATATATATATATATATATATATTAATTAAATTTTTAGTTTTGACAATACATTTCTAATCTACATACCTATGGATAAAATCTCAAAAATTCCGATGGTATTATTATTTCTGAAAAAAATATTTAATGTCTTAATTCTTTAATGCAAATCTTAATCTTAAATTCGGGCATTGTAATTCATTTACATTAAACCATGCTACTGTAGGCATTAAAACTATAAAGATGATCTGTTTTTAACCAACTAAAGATAAATGTTGAATTAGCAAGATTCATGTTATAGAATACAACACACTGCCACTAGTGTGAGGTAAACCTCCAAAATTTGTTTAGAAACAAATGATTTAAAATAATACTAGGACTCAAATTATTGATCATCCAAAACAGACATTTTCTGGCTACTTTCCTTTCCTAGTACGAACTAATTTATTCACTTACACGACAATTAGATGTACAATTCCTAATCCCGCAACAGTAGGGATTAAAATTAATATTTAATTATAATATTCATTTAGACATTTTGTATTATTAAACAGTTTAAAGCATATTGTAAAAACATTTTCCTGACTTCTTGAAATTTGTATTATACGGATTATTAATTATATGTTAACTTAAATATAATTCGTTAAATACTTACTGGAAATAGGCGTTACTAAAACATGCTTCATATATTTTTTGCATCCAGCTATAGCAATTATGAAATATATTTTTATTTTGACTTACAAATATATATTATTTGGACATATAATTACGGTATGTAGCTAATATACCTATATTATACATACCATTCATTTCTAAAAATTTCAAAAAAAAAAAAAAATTTGATAGTGGAAATATTTTTAAATATGATAAAACATTGATCTTAAAATAAAATATACTAAACCATCTTTAGGGGTGCGTTTTGAAAATTTGACAAGTGTAATAAAAAAACTAAATGTATAAAAATAACGTCATTATTTGCCATGAAGCTACATCAAATATGTCTAATAATAAAAATCACATAATTATTACATTGCGAGGTTAAAATATCGTATGCAAAATTGTTTTGACATGAACTACTGTGGTTTATGTGACACACTTTATCGCATTCGATAAATGATATAATTTTATCCATACGAGTTTAAAAATAAAAATTTCAATATAAATTAATTGCCTTCAATGATTTTATCATCATACTGAATGCGATAAATATGTCAAATAATGTACAATACATTTCAAAAATTAGGATCCAGGCGGATTTACTATGTAAATAATAAACGTTACATTACGAAATATATTCAAGATTTTTTTTGTGATACTACGGTTCCAAACTCTTTTGGAATTAGTTATTCTTGTGTTTCATTAGAAAAAAAGAGCGTAATATATTGTATAAGTTATGTTGTCAAAATATTAAATATTTATTCTTCAAAAACGTTGTTGATAAAAAATTATGTACGACATCAAATCGAAAATATTAAACGTTTAACCGAAATTTTAAAAATCGGGCAACTTTAAAAACTGAACAGTTTGAACCAGGAACTATAAATTAATATGCACGAAAAATAAATAAACCTTAGTGACGTGTAATTATGACCAGTGTAATTAATGTTAGTTAAATAATTAAAAATCAATCACACTTAAGTCTTAAAATTGGTAACAGATATATCAGTAAATAATAAACGGTAGAAATATAACACTAAACCAGAAAAATAAAGTTCGTAATTTTAGGTTAAGCAACACCAAGTTTAAATTTTTCAAAAGCAATCTATTTTAAAAATTCTATAGATTGTTAAAAAGTTTAGATTAAACTCATTTATAATATAAAAATTTAAATTCCTGTCAACCAACTGTTGAAGTTTTTCATTTTTATGTTTGGGCATGGGAGAATAGTACTTCTTGAGGATTGATTACTCTGTGTGGCAATTTATTTGTTACTGTTAGGATTCACAAAATAACTCATTTATTCTAAAGTAATTAATTAAAATCCATACTTGACATTGGTTCATCTTTAAAAAAAAATGTATTATAATTATTTAATATATTTCCATAAGGCAGTATCCACTTCACGTAAAATTATTTAAAATAAAAACAATTTTTGCTCGAACTTTGTTTAGCAGAGATCACCTTTACTTTGATTAGTTAAGAACATCAGAAAGTGTTTTTTCTATGCAAAAATAGTCTAAACTATCAGAATGCAGAAATAGTGGAAAACGCAGGTACACAAAGATACAATATCCGTTTTGTTGAAAAAAACGTAGAAAAAGAAATATACCTATGGTATACTCGATAAATATTTGATTTCGAGAAAACCAAGAAATCACTTTAAAATGATACAATAACTAACAACATTGCGAATATGTATTTACTATTCAGCACACTTATTATAAAAGCAGATTTAATTTTTTTTTTATCTCAATGTAAAATACATACCCTTGTCATTAGAACGTAATTCTGGGAAAGTAAACAATTAAATAAAAATTATCATTTTATTTTATAAAAATCATTATTGTTTTAAAAAAAAAAATTGGCTTAATATTATATTTTATACTAGGCATAATTTTCCCAATTATTAAGTATTGCGTTTAAGCTTAATGGTAATAGTATTTCTTAAAATAGACACAATTTATAGTAAAATTTTGGTCATTTATAACAGGTTACGAATAAATTGTTTTTAAACACATTGTATAAAATGGGCCAGTCTAAATATTTCAATTTATTAGCCAGGTTCGGTCCTGGTAATCATTGTCTTTATTGGTCTTATATTATTGGACAAAATAGCTATAGTAACATATTTGATTCATATCAATACTAGACTTTCTAAAGATAATATGTGCTTTTCGTTTAATAATAATAAGTTGTTTTAGAGAATATAACAAACATTAAGGGAATCTTGGTTTCTCACGTAGGTACTTTCAGAGGAATAAATCTATTGATATAATGATATATATATAATGTATATAATAATATATATTATGAATATAATAATTACCTAAATTATCACTAGTCATCGCCAGGAATGTTTAAGGTAAGAAATTATCAGAGGACTAACAGTTGCTCAACCTTATAATAATCTGAAGTCACTAGTGGAAATTCCCCAAAATACGGTTTAAAATTATAGTATTTTTTTTTTTTAGAATTGTGTTTTAGATTATCTTTGAAACAAAAACTAATTTACACCTTGATAATTGACCAAAATAATGATCAATGATAATTTATAATTTAGTAAATTCTGTAGTCATTGTTCTATCTGCTAAATATA